GAGAGCGTCCTGAATACTATCTCACAGGCTAGAGCCCCGTCTACGAGACGCCTCTATGCCCTTAAGTAGTCGGTCTTTTCCGCCTGGTGCACAACCCGTGGCGAAGACCCAGTTTCACGTGACATATCGGTGATATTGTCCTACTTTCAAGAGCTGTTGGACAAGGGCCGCTCCCCTTCCACGCTCAAGGTCCATGGTGGCAGCTATAGCAGCTTCCCATGCTCCTATAGCCGGACAGTCTGTGGGCCGGAACAACTTAATTGTCCATTTCCTGAGAGGATCCAGGAGGCTCAATCCGCCCTGGTCCCCCACGGTCCCTGCGTAGGACCTGCCCACGGTCCTGAGAGCCCGCAAGGGTTCCCCCTTTGAGCCACTACAGTCTGCATACTTGAAAACCCTGTCGTTGAAAACCGCTCTGCTACTGGCGCTAGCATCGGTTAAACAAGTAGGTGACTTGCAGGCTCTCTCGGTAAGTCCTGCCTGTCTTGAGTTTGGGCTTAACAACTCCAAAGTCGTCCTAAAACCAAGACATGGGTACATTCCTAAGGTGCTCTACACCCCGTTTAGAGCCCAGGTTTTTACTCTCTCTGCGCTCCCTCCTTCTGAGGAGGACCAGGAGCTTAACTTTCTCTGTCCGTTTAGGGCACTAAGAATTTACATCGAGCATTCCGCCCCGTTCAGGTGGTCGGAACAACTCTTTGTATGCTTTGGTGGCCGCACCAAAGGGTCCCCGGTCACAAAGCAGAGGATTTCTCGATGGTTAGTTGACGCTATCATGCTAGCATACTCCTCCCTGGATCTCCAGAGCCCCATAGGAGTCAGAGCCCATTCCACTCGGGGCATAGCCTCGTCCTGGGCGTGGTCTAGCGGTGTGTCCATAGCAGATGTTTGTGCAGCGGCCGGCTGGGCCTTGCCGTCCACTTTCACCAGGTTCTATAACTTGGAAGTTCCGACCTTGCAGGCTCGGATTCTATCTGCTTAAATGGATACGCGCCTGCTTAAGGCGGTCTAATTCTTCAGGCATTGCCTGTTTTTTCAGGTACGCTCTTGGCCCTTTCAGTAGTGCTGAGGCTCTACAAAACCGTTGGAACGATTATCCAAGGCTGGGCTGACCTCAGTGAGTTCAGCCTCTTGCCTCCCGCAGGGCTCACCCTGTGTATAATTGGTCCTCTGAGCCTTTTATGCTCAAGGTCAGTTCATGTTAGTCGTTCCTCTTTCATGACACGGCAGGATTGTATTGGTTCCCCATAAGCGTCTAGCGACGCAATACGAGTGAAGTATCGGAAGGGAACATACTCGGTTACTTACGTAACCTCGGTTCCCTGAGATACGGGAACGAGTACTGCGTTCCTTGCCATGCCATGACGCTGCACGACTCAGTGTCGTCGCTTCAGTCGAATTTATCTGAGATCCTATGGTGAAATGCCCGCTTATATAGCCAGATGGCCCCACCCATTCTGGCGGGCTCTGGCGGGCTTCGACGCCATAGGCTCGTGCAGCGCCACTGACTAGCCATTGGTTCGTTTTTTATTTACTGCACAAACCAATGGCCGTGCAGGTACACTGCGTGATTGTAAAGGCTTCAGTCCTCGAAGAAAAGGGAGTTTTCTCCATAAGCGTCTAGCGACGCAGTACTCGTTCCCGTATCTCAGGAAACCGAGGTTACGTAAGTAACCGAGCACGTTATCATAACAGTTACTCTGTTCTCTTTGGCAGGGTGGTAAATGGAAGACTACGTCAAGGTAGTTGGACTGAAGAAGATGATCATGGCACAGAAGAACAGGAGGGCATACAGGTAGGCAGTCAAGTATGCAGCAGTATTAGACAAGACCAGACGACAAAATGAGGGTGAGTGCTGTCTTTATAGTAGTTCATGATGAATGATGATAGGTGCATGTGGTTAATATTACGGTGATGGTGAACGAGGGGGAGGGGTTGCAGGAACAGTTGCTGATAGTACAGCTGAGTCAGTGTTAAAGGCAAATGGGGATAAAACACCTTAATATAATATCACCTATTTCCCATGTGTCCACATTATTTTGGCCAACCCCTGTAAGTGCATTTAAAGGGACAGTCCACCCCAAAATACAAATTTGCTGTTAATTGATGTAGGTGACTTTTTTCTTCAGTAGAACTGTAAAGAGGATTTTTTTTTTAGCTCAAAACGTGGTCCATGGTGATTCATAAAGTGCAAATAAGTGGCTACCCATTTTTGTGAACAAAAAAAAAAAAACATTTTAAGGAACACAAAATTAATACCTGAGGGTCCTAACAATATACTATATAGGTCTTATAAAGTGAAATGATCAGTCTCTGAAAGACACTGAACATTATTCACAACATTATTACCTGTAATCCATAGCCTCATGCAAACTCTCTGAAAAGTCAGATTCTTTTCTGCAAACCGGTTCTTTTGGACAGTTCGTTTCTGGTTCAATTAACTGATTCTCCAGTTGATTTTCATATTTACGCAATGACGTAACGTATACACAATTACATTATTAAAGCTCCCAAAAATGATGTGAAACACATATGTTTTACATATTTAAAGCATATAAAATGTATATCGTCTTAAACAACCCCCCTTTTTACATAAACCATAAGAAACCATAAAAAATATTAATTTCCCCCCTTCATTCAAGTGCTCTGTTCACACATGTGCATATCACTTATAGTTAGAGAGTTGGATTTGTAACCCAAAGGTCATGGGTTTGAGTCTCGGTACCAGCAGGGATTGTAGGTGGGGGGAGTGAATGACCAACGCTCTCTTCAACCTTCAATACCACGACTGAGGTATTGAGCAAAACACCGAACCCCCAAATGATACCCGGGTGCTGCAGCAAAAAAAAATGGCTGCCCAGTACCCACTGCTCGTGGTGTGTGTTCATGGTGTGTGTGTTTGTTCACTACTCGCTGCTGTGTTTGTGCACATGGATGGGATAAATGCAGAGCACAAATTCAGAGTATGGGACACCATACATAACATCACTTTCACTTTCAGTGTACTGTTGGAGGAACAGGAGCGCTGAACGAGTCGGCTCTGAATGGCATCATAAGATCATATATACCAGTGTTTTGAGTCAGTCAGAGAGTGTGTCAGACGTCCAAAAGTTAGTTTTGATGGAGTAATTTGTAGATCTATGCTGCTTGAGCCTCAAAGTTTTTCAGATGGTTCTGTCCAATTTGGTGAACTGGTTCATCTAGTTCACTAAAAATAACCAGTGCAAAATAATGATTCTTTAGCGAACTGGACATCACTCTGGACCATTTGCCTGAAGCTATGGATTACAGGTAATAATGCTGTAAATAATGTTCAGTTTCTTACACAGACAGATCGTTTCCCTTCATAAGACCTCAATATATCATCAGGAGCCACTAGTATTAATTTTGTGTTTCTTGGTATTCTTTTTTTTTATTTTGAAAAACAGGCAGCTGCTCATCTTGGATGATCTGAGTGTGACTAAATTAACAGCAAAAAAAAACAACAACAACACACCTGTGTGTTTATAGCACAGTTGTTTTTTCAATCTATCACTTATTCGAGGAGTTTTCTAAGCACTGGAAGTAAACTTCTCTCCTGTTGTCACTGAAATAATTATTGAGTCAGGATCAAACTGACTTGAGGCCAAAGTATACTTTGTTTTTGTATGTGTAGGCTAGCGTATGTGTACAGCTGAACACGTAGCCTTTCAAGTATACTCTATTTGAGGTGTACGTGAACACAGGCGGTCAACACATGCGTTCTAGAGAGCTTCATCTTTTTCCAGCGTCTGCTCTACTTTTAACCAGAAGTTATGACTGATAAAAATGTTTTTGTACTCTTTTAAACTAAAGTTGCTGCCTTCTCGAAATCCTCTCACACAAGCGCTTGTCAGTGTGGCCGTCTGTTGTTGTTTTAGTCTCCACTATTTTGTTGTTTTTGTTGTTCTGTCTCTTTAGCTATGTTTTCTTCTATGAAACAACAGACCGAGACAGTGTTGCAACTTGTGGAACAACTGATTAGTGCAAAACGAAGTCATGCGAACAGTTTTTTAATTGCCTGTATAATTGTTCCTTTCATGTGCCTTGTTAATTTTGTGAAGTTGCACCAGGACAACTGCAAAACACCTCTGTTTACATTACTAGTAGTCATGCAACATGTTAAATAATGTAAAATACTCACGTCAGTGTGTTGAGTTTACAGTGTTTATCCTGCAGTAGAGCAGCGATCTGATTCACTCGTGTGTCTCCTAATTCATGTAAACTCAGATTCAGTTCTCTCAGGAGTAATGGGTTTTCACCCTGAACTTCAGTTGCATACTGACAGGCTTCATCTGCAGCAGGACCCAAAAACCTGCAGAAGGGAATTTAAAGTAGGATTCAATTCAGTGTGCATTATATTAAAAACATGCTAAGATTATCAAACATTGTTTGTAATGAAAGCTCTAGCTACTTTTAACAATTTTACTTTGAACATTTAAATACACAAATATTGTTTTGAAAAGAAAGTCAAAAAGTCACAATTATTCAAGTGAAAATCAATTTTACTACACACATAGGAAGACTGAAACGTCCAACAAAGCAAAAGTTCACTAGATCATGATTCTCCAAAATGAAATTACCATCTCAAGATCCTTCTGGCTTTTAAGCAGATAAGAAAGGGTAGCAAATGGATAATTTGCTTGTGACGACACAATTCTATGTGACGTCACATAATTTTTTTCCATGAGAATTTTCCACAGTAACATTTTTCTCACATCTCACCTCAGTGTCTTCAGCCAACAGTTTGGATCCTGTAGTAAATCACTGAGCTGCTTCACTCCTGATTGTCCAGGATCATTTCCTGTGAGATCCAGCTCTATCAGGTGTGAAGGGTTTGATCTTACAGCTGAAGCCAGAGCTTTATAACTTTCTTCAGAGATACTGCAGTCTGAAAGTCTAACAAATATGTCATTATATTATATTCTACATTATTTTAGGTGATTAATACAATGCCTGTTTTCTGTCAAATGAACAGCAAACCACAGTCCACTATATTTTCCTCCTTGAATTGAGGGGGAGATTTTATCTTAATAGGGGAAGATTTTTCTAACCTTACTTAAATGTACATAATCTTTTATGCCAAACTCTGTATCAAATCAGTATAAAAAAAATCAGCATCACAAGTTTATCTTTGCAGTGCAGAGGAGACTCTGATGTCTGCATCTAAAGTGACATTTACATATTTACAAAAAAACATTACGGATAAAAATAGAGTGTAGGCCTGCTAATAGTGTGATGCATTATTAGACATATACTACTATAATGCAATAAAGCTATTAGAAAACAGCATGTAAATAGTTTAATCTTGTCTGTAAATTGTGAATATAAATCTTAAAACATCAAACAGCTAAATTTTTGCCTGTGTAAAAAACTGTTTTACTTTAGAGTGTTCAAGTGACTTTAAGTATTTTGATTCTTGTATATGAATGTTCCTCACCTCAATCTCTCCAGTTTACAGTGTGAATCCTTCAGTATGTCACATAAGTGATTCACTCCTGTGTTTTTTAGTTCATTCTCACTGAGGTCCAGCTCTCTCAAGAGTGATGGGTTTAATTTCAGAGCTGAAGTCAGGATGAGACACTGTTTCTCTGTAATACTGCATCTACACAGACTGAAGAGAGAAAGAAAAAGAAAATAGGTCAATTTTATGATAATCATTCAAGGTTTTGGAGGATTTGCTTGTCGTGTCTGACAGTAATTTGTCATTTTAAATTGACTCAGAAATTACCACTACAAGTGCATTACAAATACCACAAAGTTACGAGCTACGAAATACTATATGAAATACAAAGATACGTCAATTCAAGATTAATTCAATCTCACCCTTGGTTTGTTACGTCTGTTGTTCATTTTCTACTCAGTAACTCTACAATAAGGTATAATTTGAAAGAATTGGTAAATTTTTTTTTTAAATAAACAACTAATTTACATGAACTTACAATGAGCAATGGCATCTTAATGTTAATAATGTTACTAATACATTTTTTTAAATCAAAAGTTGTATCTGTTAGAAGTTAAAAAATGAGAACTAGCACGAACAAACAACTGTACTTATTATCTATCATTAACAAAGATTAATGAATGCTATAAAAATATATTGCTAATTTTGAGAAGGTTGGAAGCTGTATTATAGGCAAATGGTGGCAAAACACCTGAATAAAAAATTGGCTATTTCCCACGTGTTCACAATATTTTGTCCAACCCCTGAATGTGCACTTAAATTTAACTTATATTGAAATTTACAGCTGAAAACTGTTTTTGTAACTCAGCTAGGAAAGACATCTGTGTATTTATAATGAAGGTGTATTTTTGTGATTTTTTTGTGATGCTAAGAGAAAAATTGCACTGACTCGAATGAGAATTATCAACTACTGTAACATTACTAGTAGTTATTAGTAGTGACATGTGAAATGTTGTAAGATACTCACATCAGTGTGTTGAGTTTACAGTGTTTATCCTGCAGTAGAGCAGCGATCTGAATCACTCGTGTGTCACCTAGTTCACGTTCACTCAGATTCAGTTCTCTCAGGAGTAATGGGTTTTTACACATAACTCCAGTCAAAAACTGACAGGCTTCATCTGCAGCAAGACTCAAAAACCTGGAGAAGGGTAGATGAAGCAGGATTCAATTCAATGTGCATTCTATTACAAAACATGTTAAGATTATCAAACATTGTCTTAACAGTTTTACTTTGAACATTTCAATAAACATCTCATGGCCTGAGCCAGTTTGTGAGGCAAGGGGCTGAGGAGCTTGGAAGCACCACAAAGGAGTGATCCCTGCTATCACACGGAGGCAACTGGGAGCTGAGAGCTGATCTTGACCACCAGTTGAATTTCCCACAGCAGATCGCCGTAACCTCCCTCTGGCCAGTCATCTTGCTCTGGTCTACTATCACAAGAACAGTCATCATGGTTGAACTGACTGTGCCATGGGAAGACGGCCTGGAGGCTGCTTTTGAGAGGAAGAAGAAGTACACAGATCTCTCAGTCGTGTGCAAAGAGGCAGGTTAGAGTGCCTTCACCTATCCAGTGGAAGTTGGCTGTCGAGGCTTCACTGATACCTCCACTCAACAGCTCCTGAAGTCTCTTGGTATCAGAAGCACCAAGTTGTCAAAGGCACTAAAAGATCTGGCAGAGGAGGCAGAGGAAGGGAGCTACTGGCTCTGGCTTCAGAGAAAGGACAAGATGTGGGGGCGAGAAGGATCATAGAACTGACTTCAGGGGACAGTAGGGAGATGTCCCTGCCACTGCTCCACCACCCAGAGATGTTCTGGGATGAAAGGAGCTGAACATCAATGATGGGTGGATCCCGGCTGATCACTCTGCAGCCAGCCAAAATGGCACCGTCTGATCTTTCAAGTTTGATCATTTTGAACAATTTTGATGCAACAAATTGTGTACCTTACTCTATTAGGGAAATAATACATCTATAAATAATTCACATGCATATAATTTATTTTGTATTATTTCATCATCTCTCACCTCAGTGTCTTCAGTTGACAGTTTGGATCCTGTAGTAAATCATTGAGCTCCTTCACTCCTGATTGTCCAGGATCATTTCCTGTGAGATCCAGCTCTATCAGGTGTGAAGGGTTTGATCTTAGAGCTGAAGCCAGAGCTTTATAACCTTCTTCAGAAATACCGCAGTTTGAAAGTCTAGAGAAAAGAAGTTTGAAATGATCAGATCTATTATCTAAAATTAATATCAGTGAAAGATTTTTATAATGTAAAACCTCAAATACACTTCATTTATTTTCTCTTCTGGACAGATAAGGTCTATGTAGTTTACTACAGTAATGTTAACGTTGAACAAAAGATAATAACATTATTAAAACCAAACAAAGGGTTCATTGAACTCACCTGAGGTTCTCCAGTGTGCAGTTTGTGTTTTCTAATCCATTCTGGAGTTTCTTCACTCCTGAATCCAGCAGATTATTGTTGCTCAAGTCAAGTTCTTTCAGACTGGAGTTTGATCTTAGGACTGTAGCAAGAGCTGAACAGCTTTCGTCTGTTAGACCACAATCACACAGCCTAAAATATTAAACAGGAGAGGATGAATTACAAATACAACTGACTTGAGTACTTGATGCCAGTATTAAGTGACTCCTGAGAACTGATTTTGTCTCTTGATTTAAGATATTTTATATGAGCAAAAAAAAAACTGAACTAAAAATACTCACATCAGTGTGTTGAGTTTACAGTGTTTATCCCGCAGTAGAGCAGCGATCTGATTCACTCGTGTGTCTCCTAGTTCATGTAAACTCAGATTCAGCTCTCTCAGGAGTAACGGGTTTTTACCCACAATTCCAGTCACATACTGACAGGCTTCATCAGCAACAGGACCCAAAAACCTGATGAAAGGAAATATATTGACATTGCCTGCCATATATTTTATTTTCACAAACCTGTAAAATGGCTTTTAATCATTCCAAAGCTTTTATAAATGTCTTTTTGACAGTTTTATTCTCTTTCAGCTAAAATGGGTTTAAGACTATTGAATGCTACTATTTTTATAACACTCACCTCAGTGTCTTTAGTTGATTGTTTGGATCCTGTAGTAAATCATTGAGCTCCTTCACTCCTGATTGTCCAGGATCATTTCCTGTGAGATCCAGCTCTATCAGGTGTGAAGGGTTTGATTTCAGAGCTGAAGCCAGAGCTAGATAACCTTCTTCAGTGATACTGCAGTCTGAAAGTCTACAAACAATAAAAACAATAATTTAAATTAACATTGTAGTTCCCTTTCAGTCAGTCACTTTCGATGTCACATTGATGACCGACGAATTGGGGATCTCGCTAGAGAGACCACTCTACTTCTAGTGTAAACTAAACGAGGCAATGCACACTGGCATGCGATGATTGCATCCAGCTGCTGCTGATCGCAGCGCGAGTATAAATAGGCAGCAGGTGCAACGCATACTCATCATTTCGCTTCGGAGTCGAGCGTTTTCAATCGTTCTGCTCTTACCAAGCTTCGTTTGTGAATGAGACGAGTTCAGCGCACTCTAAGGGAGCTTTTTCGTGTTGGTGGAATGGCGCTACAGCAGTGGTCGTTTTCCCGTGTCGAGTGGGTTGAACACATCAGGCTGAACTACCCCGTTTATGTTGCAGGCGGCCATCTCACCTGTGCGCTTCAGCACGCTAAAAAAAGGCTTTTCCCCTAAAAGAGCATTCGACATTGCGTCTGTACCAACTCGACGCTGTTTCTTTGTAAAGACGACGTTGCATCTTTGTATAGATGTTGCTCCACCCGTGTGTTTCTGGATGTGGTCGTTACCTGGTGCTGGGTGATGTTTCACTATCGCAGCCTTCACTTCCTCAAAAAGGGCAGAGTTCCAGTGCCTCTGCCTTGATCTAGTTCTCTTCCTGGCAGAAGTCAGGGGAGGACTACTTCAGGCAGTAGCTCGGGTGGTCTGAGGATCACAGTGGCAGCGACCCCTCCGAGGAACCAACCTCAGAGGGACCGTCACTCCTCTAGCACTCTGCAGCCAGTCGAGCTGCCCGAGGAACGTGCTGGGCCCTCTAAAAGGAGCGTACCAGCCGTATCCTTTGGGGCTCCTCCCGACAATTGTATGTCAATCGCTGCATCGGAGGGCCTCCGGGACGGTGGCAATGCCTGAATTGGATCCAGAGATGATGGCTATGCTTGCCCGGATTGCCAAGAGGGTAGGGCTCGAGTGGAAACCTCCACCATGTCTTGAGCCCTCGAGGTTGGACGATTGGTTTCTCGGGTTGGCTCACACTGGTTCTCAGCACCCCGCACCAATGTCTTTCTTCCCAGAGGTGCATGAGGAGCTCACCAGGTCGTGGACGGCAACTTTTACTGCCAGAAACCGGCCTGTGTGCTCCTCCTCCCTCACCACTCTCGACAGTGGTGCAGCTTGGGGGTATACGAGTGGTCGGTAGCGATGCAGTTGTGTCCTAATACCACCACCATCTCCCCTCCCGGGCCTGTAGGTACTCGTCTGGTCTGGCCGGCACTGCTTATGCGGCTTGTGGAGAAGCTGCCTCCGCCCTGAGCGACGAAGGTCACCGCGAGTTCTCTGGGTCGTGCGATGTCCACGCTTGTGGTCCAGAAGCGCCATCTCTGGCTGTGTCAGGGTCCCAAGAGGGCACGGAGAGTTGTGGACAGGCCGAGAGAATAAAAAAAGAGAATAACATTACAGAGGAACGTGCTCAGTCAGTGTTGAACTGCTTAAATTCATTCAAAGGCAGGACGGCGGTCCCACTAAATCAATTTCAGAGGCTCCTGGGGCATATGGCAGCTGCAGCGGTGGTCACACCACTGGGGCTGCTTCATATAAGACAGCTTCAGCGCTGGCTCCATGGCCGAGCAATTGCCTAGAGTTGTTAGCAGTGTGCCTTGCCTTGAACCATCTCTAAGGGCGCATATGAGGCAAGCACGAACTGGTCCATACGGACAACACTGCGATCGTTGCGTACATCAACTGGCAAGGTGGTATGCGCTCCCGTCGCATGTTTCAACTCGTCCGCCACCACCTCCTTTGGAGTCAGAAGTTTTCTTTATCTACTCCCTGACCGAGGGAACACTCAGCACGGATGCACTGGCACACAGCTGGCTGCGGGGCCTGTGCAAATATGCGTTTCCCCCAGTAAGCCTTCTCACACAGACACTGTGCAAAGTCAGGGAGAATGAGGAGCAGGTCTTGCTCTACTGGCCCAACCGGACCTGGTTCCCGGAACTGATGCTCCTAGTGACAGCCCCACCCTGGCGGATTCCTCTGAGGAAGGATCTACTTTCTCAGAGTCGGGGCACCTTGTGGCACCTACATCCAGACTTCTGGAAACTCCATGTCTGGTGTGTTTCCCGGCAGACTTCTCTGCTATTATACATCGTATTTTTAAACAGACTGAATATTTTGGAAGTGAATTCTGGAAGGTGAATATGAATTATTGAATTTTTAATTGTGAAAATGTGTGTGAAATATTTTGAATTGAAATATTCACAGCTTAAATAAACAACTATGTTAATTTTCAGGACCTAAAAATGCAAGCCCTGGAAATGCAAGGCATTAAAATGCAAGCACTGTTAATGCAATGCATTATTTTTTCAGTTAGTGCTATTCAACATGCTTTTTTGTTTCAAAGACATATGGCATTATTTTTCTTCCATACACAGAAAGCTGGACAATTCCGTCAATGGCAGTGAAGCTTTGTTTCACAAAATAGGTTAGTGGCCGGGAAAGGGTTAGGTGATAAAAGGAATATGAAGAAAACAGGTGATTACTATGGGTTGTAGTAATACTTCTATATCTTTATAATTGTACCACAATAAACACACTTTTGTATATGTTTTCACACTTATGTTTTCATGTTTTATGGAAGCAAGATGTGAGTAAGTTTTTAAGTGATCAATATATTTCACTTTCATACTAGTTATTTGAGTTTAGTTAAATTTTTTCAGTTGTGTTTACTTTTATTTTAATGCAGTTAACAAATGCTCTTCTTTCATTTTATTTTTAGTTACAAAACTGGTAATCTCACATTCCTCCAACGTCTGGAGGAGATTAAAGAATATATAATATTCCCATAATCAGCCAATGTGCAACATTAATCTCATTGCTGTGGCATTTGATATAGCTGTTGGTGAAATGTACTTACTTGAGTATCTTCAGCTCACACACAGAATTCTTCAGTCCCTCACAGATCTCTTTGACTCCTGAGTCCAGCAGACGGCTGTTGTTCAGGTTCATCTCTTTCAGGATGGTTTTGGAGGAGAGAACAGTAGCTAGAACTGAACAGCTTTTCT